TTGTCAATCACTCCTCCTGGCCTTGTCTTTCCTGATTTGGATTATGTTATCCCAGGACCTCCAGGTGGAAAACAGACCTTAACATCAAAAAAATGATAGGCTACTGTCCCACTGCTGGGGTGTAGCAATGAGATGCTCCTGCACTGCCAGACCTCAGCTGCTGAAGTGCTTACTTACTTTCAGAAGTAAGATTTTAGAAAATGTCAGTGATATAGTCTTGCATAATGGTGGAACTTCGGTACAAAGCTCAGTCCGTGAAAAAAAAAAAAATAAAAAAAAATGTATATATAAATATATAAGTGAACCAGAAATCCCATGAATACTGGTAGTATACATGGACTATATGAAAAGATTGGACATAAATGATTAAAAGAAATCATCACAGAGATTCACCAGGGATTTACAGGATGTTGAAAATATAAGTGATTAAAAAGTATTTTACTCTCTGTATCTTAAATTCTTGTTTATAAAAAATCTATAAAGGCCAGCTGAACACTCCAGCAGAGGGCTGTAGAGCAAAATAACTGCTTAATATGAAAAGCAGTACTGTTGCTAGAACCTGTTGAGGTCACTTTTGCACATGACCTGCAGAAATAGAAGTCCTTTTGACTAGTGTTATTTCAGAATTAGATTTTAGCAGCATAAACTAAGTTGCATTAGATTATTTTGGAAAGGCAATAGCTGAGAATTTCATTGTGTGGACACAAGAAGGGAGGATTCAAATACTTTTGAAAGAATGACTAATACTAATAATTGCAATCACCTTTCCTGAAATAATCAGAACTGGTGGAATTAAATCCTGTGATTCAGTCCCAAGGAAACAATTAACTGATTGCAAATTATTAAAGTCCATGGATTAGTTTAAGATAATTCTTGTATTCCGTATGCATTAGTGCCATAAAAAGCACAAGGGGTAAACACTTTCGTTTATTTAATGGAAAATAGCATTTTCAAATGGCACAGATTCAGTGAATTTAGGGCCAGAGTGGACTGTTTTCATCCTGAAGTTTAACATAGATAAAGCTTGCAAAGGCTTTAAAATTTCTGTCATAAGGGAACTTTTTTTTTGACTGTACATATTTTATTTAAAGACATGAATAGTCTTTAAATATTAAAAATGATTCTTCATGGCCATAATTAGTTTAATAATATCTCATTTTTCTCTGAAAGAAATAAAAAAATAAAGTTCCCTGAGGATCTACTGACTCTGAACTTTTAAATAGTAAGAAATGTCACACCTTCTAAGGATGTGGGTTAAAACAAAAAAAAGGTTTAGATATAATGTTCATGGATTTGAGCTTTTAACGCTTCATCAGAGTTCATGCAGACTAAAAGTTTTCATGTAATTCAATGCTAGCAAAAGCTCAGTGGTGCTTGGCAACTTTTAACCTAGAGGTCAGCCAGTGCTCCATGCAGGTTCAAATTCAGGATTTGCTCTCCCAAGTTCTCTGTCTCCAAATTCTGAAGAGGTTCTGCCATATTCCATAACGATTTACAAGAAACCCTCTTTTGTCTTGCAACCTTGTTTTATGACCACTAATTATAGATCATTACTATTTTAATTTCACAGTGTCACCTGCAGCTTGTTATCTCTGTTCCCTGAAACCATTCAGCCATACTAAACAGCAACCATGAGAGGGCTCATCCTCTGGTTTCCCTTCAGCTGTGTATTTGCTCCTTTTTTGATACAATAAACCTGATATTTTGATGAGCAATTTACCACTCCTTTCTGACAAGGAGAGATGGAAACATCATTCACGGGGCTGTTTGACACCATTTCCATATACAATAGTTTCTTCCATTCTTTCTGAAGTACCTAAAAAGGTACGATTGGAATCCATAGGCCAGATACTCTTCAGAAATAATGAAGGTGTCAGAAAAAGGGAGGGTTTAGAGAGTTTTCTTATTTGTGTGGTGAAATAGGAGTTGTTTTTCCATTGCGTTCTCATTCTTCAATAGAATTGAGTGCAGACTACCTTCATCCCAAGACCGCTGTACAGTTTCTATCTCAGGTAGGCTAGAGTCTTATTACTGTAGGCCGCTTCAACAATTCTTGCCTTTGATGTCTGTGCAACATGTTTCTCTTATTATTGAAGATTTTTAGCCCTGATACGCTGCTAACAGGCTTAAGAGACTCAGCTATGTGGTATATCCGCATATATCAAGGTCAGGTAGAGAATTTTTGAAGGGGAGAGATGCAAACAGTGATGTTCATATACAGAAGAATGGAGGATCAGATAAACGGCATGTTTGATGGCTCATAGATTCTGTCATAGTGAGGCTAGGGATGACACATTGTTTGTTTTGACTTCTTGGTGTCAGGAGCTCTCTTTCTGACTAAGCCCTACCTAAGCTTCCTGTTCCTCACACCAACTTCCTTTGTGAGATCTGGTTTAAATGCATGAGGGGAGTAAAGCTTTAGGGCTTAAAATATGGCCCTATTTTAAAAATTGACTTCATAAACAGCAAAATAATGTTTCTCAATTGTCGTCTGTCAATAACGGTCATTTAAATGCACTCAGCTTACACATAAAGAAATTACTTCTGAATATTATGTCTACAAACTCCAGCTGGACTTGGAAGATCATTGCTATTTGTAACAATATTAATGAGGGTTTCAGAGCTCCAATGAGCCCCTTGAATACAATCAAGTAGTTTTTGATTAAGCTACAAGGTTTTCCCCTGTTTTTTCTCAGATTTCTGAAGATATAGGAAGGAACAGTTTGGCTCAGCATCAGCACAAGAATCCATCTTATTCTTTCTTAGATACATTGTCTTTCCAAAGCTAACAGAACGATACATTATTGAAATGTTTATGCTATCCTATAAACTTTAGAAGATGTAAACAAAAACAGTTAAACCGAAACCAATAGAAATGCATTGCTTCATACTACCTGAAAAACTGGCTCACAGTTTTCACTAACTCCAAACTACAAGTAAACAAAATTGTGTGTTCTGTAACTGATAAAAAAAAAAATGTATATGAAGTTGAAAAGAAAACTGGCATCAGCTTTGTGTGGTCTTTTTGCATGCTAATGGTTTTCCTTACATTCACCATTCTTCACATTTTATGAAAAACACATCTGGCCTCTTATAAAACAATCAATTATTGTGATTAAGACATGTACACTGTTCCTTTAAAAAGAGAAAGAGAAAGAGATAAGGGAGTAACACAATGGTTCAACAGACACTTTTTACAGAATTCAAGTTCTTAGCATGTGAAGCCAGAAAGGTAACTCAATCTATCATGCTGAGATAACCATCTAAATAACCCCGTGCAGTACTGAAAAAGGTAAACAGTTCTTGAGAGCAGACAGGTGGCATAAAACCATAGCAACAGAAAGTCTGGACAATGCGGTACAAATGCAAACAAAACTCTCCATATGTATTGCTTTGTCCTCTGCCTTATGTAAAATTGTATTTTAACTGTAGAGTATTTCAAATTTGAATTTCCTTGCACTTGCCATGTCATGTTTTCCTTCTTTGCACCTGTCTCCTTCTCATCTTTTGTTTTTGGTCAACTTTTGGTGATCAGGTACTATTCAGGTCTCCTCCCAGCAACTCAGCTCAAACTGTGTTTTTATTTCCCTGCCATGTTATTCTCTTAAAAAACAACCTAGTTCTGTTTTTCTCCCATCAGACCTGACACACACAGTTGTGTACTGCCAGAGTGGGTGCCAGGCTGCTAGATTTTCCTCACGTGTCCCGTATAATCAACAAGGAATGAGAAGTGCCTGTAAAGTCTTCCAGAGGAAAATCTTGTCCTCTTTAGTTCATCTATCAACTTGATCTGGCAGCTCTCAGAGATATGTACTTCTCACCACTTCCATCAGGATTTTAGGCAGTTATGTCAAGAGGACTGTTTCATTACAATTTTAAATTTTGTATGCAAAATGCCTGTCTTAGGCTTCATTTACATTAGCATATTGGTTCAGAGCAGTTGTGCAGTCTTGAAATAACTCTTTCAGTCACCCCACTCACTGCACATTGGCTGACTTCATGGAGAGTTTTCAGTGTTTACAAACCAGATCCCTCTGGAGGCTGTGTTTGGTGCACACCAAATGTGCCTTGGCCCTTCATGTGGATATAGGAGATGCAACCAACTATTGGTCCTTTAGTTAACTCGGAAATGTATTTGTTGCAGAGATGTTCAGTACAGGGCACACCACTAAATCTAAGCTGAAGTAAAAGCCCCAGTCTGTATACAGTAGAGATATAAAGATCTCATACTTATATCTTGTATTCTGTCAAATTATTTGCTAATATAATCATATAGTCATATCTTTATGCCAACTGAATTCACTCAGACTTTCCTTCCCCCTTCCGCTGTTTTGCTACTTCTGCTTTTCTTCCGTTGCTTCAAATTAGTGCTCACCTCCTTTGACATTACTTTTCCTGTAATAGCTCTCTATTATATTTTTCCCAACCCAGATCTTTCCATCTTAGTAATACAATCCATTAGCAGCTACACAGCACATCTTTGACCAGCAACAAAAGTAAATGTAGCTGTCTACAACTGAGCCATTGTCAAAACTCTCTTTATAGTCAATAGAAAGAAATAGGCACTTTTAGGGTATGATTCATCTTAACCCACAGTAGACACTGAATATAGGTCAGATGAATCATGTCTTTAAAGTGCCTACTTCTCCTTATTGACTATAAAGGGAGCCTAGTGCGACTAGATCAGATTTAGATCTCCACACTGCAGCCGTCTTAGATCAGCTGTTTTCCAGTCTGTCTTCTATCATTTCCAGCTTGTTTTTCCTTTAACATGAGTGACAGCAAAAGCCATGCAATCTGGATGAAACTAGATAAAACAAGGGCCCTCAGGGCCATGCTTTCCCGGGAAGAAGGGGGAGAACTGAGGAAACAGTACGCAAACATGGTTTCTGTAGTGGGAGCTTGAGTAGATTATCTTCCAAGTGATATATATCCTACATGGTTTTTGTACTCACCTATTCTGCCTTATTCAGATGAAAGGAGGAAAAGCTCACACTTACTTTGAACTGGTCTCATTTAAGAGGCAGAAAGGAACAGCATTTATATTCCACCCAGATTCAGTGCTGGCACCTTCTTAGATGAGACGGCTGCGTGGCTGTGTGAATAGTTGTCTTCCCTGTATCTTTTCCAGTAGAGAAATAGATAAAATCAAGTAAAATAATTAGTGAACATTGCAATAATTAATCACTTAGAATCAGATTATTCACCTCTTGACGTAAAGGAATGACTTCACCTTTGCCCAGAGGTGAACCAGGGCACTATTTGGATGCAACTACCTCTCTGTGAAATGTAAAGTGGGTAAAATGTGGGGTTTGGTTTCACATGCAGATTTCATTTACAGGGCATGTTTAGTACTTCAATATTTAATAACAAAACAATTAGTTATTTACACAGAGGACAATGAGACTCCTTTGGAAATATCCATCTCATTGTCATTAAAAGCAAATAAAGTGATTATGAACAGTGTAACTGTACAATTAACTGATTAAACCCACACTGCTCTGTCTATAACAGACCTGCTTTTCAATGTGACTTTTATGATTAAAAAAATAGGCTTGTACATGGTGACGCATACCTAAGCCTTCTGAGCATAAGTGAAATTTTTAATTAAAAATGTATGTTTCAAGATAAAACAGCTTTCTCTAATGTAGGATAATGAACAGCTCCTGACAGAGGTGTGGAGCCCACAAAAACGGCTTTGGAGAGAGGAGGAGGTAATTAAATGCCAAACAAAGCTTAAGCATTTGAAAATTTAAAAAATCATTTATTGTAAGGATACTCCCATTCTACAGATATGATTCCAATTATACTGCAAAACAAAAGGCAGTCAACACACTGCAGTGTTATGAAAAAGAAGAAAGGGAGAAAGCAACCATGTTTCCTGTTTCTTAGAGATTTCAAAATATTGTATTTTTCTTGCCTGTTGAATTTTCCATGATACCATATTAGAAATATTCCAAACCTAACATTCTTCACAGTGAAATAAATTAGAAGATCTATGATCATGTGATGACCACTCCAGACTGTAGGGAATTTTGACACGGAAGGAAAAGTGATGACTGGACAAAGGAATAGCCTGTCGTCCAGGCACCAGTTATAGTTTTGGCTGCTGAACAGTAGGGTATTTCATTTTTCAAGTTCCTTAGTGTCAGTTTCCACATCATGTGTTAAAAGTTATTTTTTGTTCAAATGTACTTTGGTGTGAATAACTGAAATTTGTTTTTCTGATAAAGGCACCTGAGGAAAAATATATTTTATGGATATTACATATAAAGACAAAGAATTCAATTTTCAACATATAAAGATCAAAATATCTCTCCATCAAGCACTTTAAAGTATTACATTTCCCAACTAAATAGACATTGACGCTGAAAATCTGAAACTGGTTATACAGAACACTGGGTTAATATAAAAGGAGTCTCATTCATGCAGTGACTTATTTTTATTTTCTCACCTCTTACTGTATATATTAGTACAGAGATCAATCCAAATAAAGTATGAAAAAATCCAGGGTTTGGAACATGCTAAAACCTAATGAGACATCAAACTTATCTACAGAGCAAATGAGAAACACATTCTAAGTCAGCTGCAGAGAGACTAAAGTTTTAGAGGTAATGCCATTTTCTTAGTGTACTCACAAAAGGAGAGTTTTGCAATTGTTTTGCATAGAAGCTTTGGAAATAATTAAATGCATTTCACTGAAAACAATCACCAAACCTAGCAAAGAAAGATGCAAGATGTGGAAAAAATCTATCTCCTGACAACACAGGATGTTTTTTCCAGAAATATATTTTTCGTGCATTAGTCAGTCTGTTTGAAATTTTACAAGTTGTAATACTAGAAATTATCTGAAACTTATAAATTTAGGAAAAGAAGAGCTAACAGCAAATTGTTTGGGATGTCTGATTAAAAAAAAAAAAAAAAAAAAAAAAAGACAGCTCAAGCTTTCTCTGTACAGAAAGCAGGCCTGAATTCCCAAACAAAGCGAAATACATAAGTGGATTTTCAAAATGTGTGTCACAAGAATGTGTATTGGTTGAGGAATGAGAGAGGTTTAGCAAATATTCAGCTGAAAAGCAGTTAGTCTTGTTTTCTGATAAGCTGTCAGAAAACAGCTTTATATTTTGAGCTTGGATGGGCCTAATAGTTTAGTCACCATGTCAAGCATCAGTAAAACTTCATTCTGTCAGCAGCAGACTTGCAGTGTGCCACTACATTTTAAAATGAAGAGTTGGCGTGAACTCTGTTAACCATAACCTCAGGCTCTTCCTGGAACTGTGATACACCCACGCCATGCAGCCTTCACTGAATATCATGTTAACACTCCTCCCCCATGCACGGCTGTTATACTGTATGTGAACAGCAACAGTCAAATATAAGACTAAGAACCAGCTGCACCCTATTATTCAGTTCACTTTCAGATTTGCATACTTACCAAATATTCCCTCGGTGGGATATTCATTATTTCTAGTATTTTACTTAGCACCAGTATGGAACTTCCCACTAAAGCACATTTTCATCAGAGAAGACTTTTATTCCTTGATAAGACATTGGATCACAGATATCTGTATTACTTCCAATGAATTTCCACTGAAGCAAAAGGGAATTTGGCCTAGAATTTCAAAGACTGCAGTTTCAAGGCAGATCCATCGCGATCAACTCTAAGTTCAGGCACTTCAAGACTTCCAGGGCACTTTTATGCAGAATTAAGAACCTGAATCCTAAAAGCTTCAACTCCCTCTTTTTTACCTAGTGAGCATGTTAGAATTTAAACAGCAAAAGCTCACATGAAATTTTGAAGAAATTTTTCTGTCTGTTGAAAATCTGTGAAAAATCTACATAAAAAAAAAAAAAAAAAAAAAAAAAAAAAAAAAAAGAGCAGGATTCACTTTCAGGAATGAAAATTCTTTGTTTGCATGACCTTTACTTCTAAACCAGGAAAAGATATATTCCCTGACTGAGATGGCTTAAACTGAAACTGAATTTTTCATTGAAATCCCTCAGAGACTGTCTCCTGGAAGCTAAAAAGTTTGCTAGATTACATAGCTCAGTACACTTCCAGTAAAGCAAGACTATATGCTAAATTATACAGTCAAGGTACTTCCTGTACCAAAGCAACAGTTTTATTTTTTCATAAATCAGAACAAAAGGAATCTTCAGATTCCTGGGATTTGTCACTTTTTAGGCAGTGACATATCTTTCAGCACTGAGAGCAGCAGTAGCTGAGTTTACTTTTATGTGTTTGCTTCTTTTGGGGGGACTGTTAAAAATGGCCATATAGTGACAGGGTTGGAGGTCTCCTAAGCCATCAGCCTGGACATGACATCGGCTCTTACAGCTACTGTGACAGCTGGCAGGGTTCACAATAGAAGTAATCACCTTTAGATTGCATCTGCTGAAGCCCCATAGGACTTAATTTGACCACTGATAGAGTTTCTGATTTTTCTTAGAAAGGCATTAAAAAATAAGAGCTGGGGATAAGTGAAATTTAGAGGAAGGCAAGAAAAAGGTGAAGCCACAAAGCAACCAAAGAAGAAAAAGTGAGAGAAAAAGATCAGGAGGAAAAGAAAATGTATCCCAGTGAAAACACACACACATATATATATATAGTAATTTTTTAATTCATATCACCTATCTGTGACTCCATAGTTGACAGGATAGTCACATCTATTCCTATAGGTTCTGCCTTATTTTTAAACGCTGGAGTTGCGCTTGATTAAGTTAATTGCTCTAAGGGCTGAAATGAATGAAGGATATGACTGGCTTGAGAGAAGTAAAAATAAGGATTCAGTATACTGCAGCATACTTATAGAGCAGGGAAAGGGCAAGAGGAGACTCCACAGTAACATCTGTAAGGGATCATTCACTTCACCAAGTGCTGCCAACAGGAAAGTCCTGGTCTCCTTTGACTTCTTGCTAAATGCAAACTTGGTAGAAACAAGGTAAGGGCAGTGAGCTCTGTTGTACAGTCATCAGAATCATATCACGATGGTATCATCACATCAATGCATCAGTTATGTGAGACAGTGCAAAGAAATAGGAGGTGGTGGGATGAGTGAAATGGGATTATCGTAGTTCACAAATACGTTAGGAAAGCAGTGCAAAGGAATTCATCCTGACAGTGTGAGAGGCCTTCAGACCTTCATTTAAATCTGAATATAGCTTGAGCTTTGTAGAACACTCAGGTACACATGCATACACAATACACACAGCAGACTGCTGGGAAACACATGATTATGGGGTAAGCAAATGGCACTGGGAATGCCACAGCTGGCCAACTGTGGCCTCCAAAGGCCAGATCCAGAAAAGACACACAAGCTGTTTGAGCTAAAGTTCCTCTAAGTCACGAAGGTGAAAAATGCCCTTCTAGAGACCTTGCATGGGCCAACTCAACCTTTGGACTTTTCTGTCTCTCCTCTTTGACTGCAGAGGAAGTCTACCACCTAACAGATTCTTTTAGGCTTATTTTTTGTAAACAGCAAAGACTTTATAGAAACTCTAGTCACAAAAGAAATTTTGCCCTGAGTAATGATAAGCTGATTCAGTTTAAATGAAACAAGTCTACAGTTAAGATTTTTTAATTCAAGAAACAGACTGTGGGAAATTAAGGAAATTAACAAGTGTCGTCAACTGTGCTGAAGAGCTCAGAGGCTCATATGTAAGGCTTGGAATTTCCTTGACAAAGTTCTGAATTTGTCTGTCATTCAATCTGCAAGCAAGGAGAAAATGCTTTAGGTATAACTAGAAGAATAAATGCCATAGAAGGTATATTAAAGGTAAGCAAATTCTACAAGTGACTGAAAAAAAAAAAATAAAAAGACTGAAAAGAAATGACAAATATATCCTGAAGGTGAGAAAGTGGAGGGACAATGTGAGAACTGCCACAGTAAAGCTGAGTTACATATCACAGCAAAAAAGTAAAACAAAATAAAACAAAATAAAACAAAATAAAACAAAATAAAACAAATACCCTCAGCCACATGGGCAAGAAGAGATGAAGCAAGAAGAGAGTTCTTATCACTGAGGACAAGGGGTGAGATAGCAGAAGAGAAATTAAACAATCTAGATAATATCCAGCTATCAAAGGAATATTTTGCCCCAGTTTTCAATGAAATTAACAAT